TAAACATATTGATAAATTCCATGACACTGGTTAAAATATTTAGTTTTTTTTTTTTTTTACTTAATATTTCTATTGTGGTAAAATATTTTTGAGCTCACTGAGAAATCTGTTTGCAACAAATTTGTAAAAAAAAAAAAAAAAAAACATGAGGTACCAGATATCAGTCAAAACGTCTTGCATTATTTAATCTATAGAATCATTTAAATCTATGATTAACTATTTCTAATTTATTTTAAGAATAAACAAATTCTATTTAACTGGAGGTTTACAGCTGAAACACAATGTTTTTTAGTCTTACTGGTCTCTAACTGGGAGCTTAACCACCACCAGCAGCTCCAGTTTGCTGTGAGGTTTCCACAGAGCCAGTCCCAACGTGAACCTGATACCTTCTCATCGTTCGACGACTGCTCCGGCTCGTCCTTGATCTCCTCGTGCGCCGACTTCCTGGACACTGACAGGCCATTGAGGCGGGCCACCTTCAGAGGGCCCATCTTCCTCACCTCTGACCTGGATCCTTTCTTCATCCCCTGGTGGGACAGAGTAAAGATAAAAAAATATTTGTGTGAGGTCCGAGAGAAAGAGGAAGAACAAGCAGACAAAAGGAGGAGCCTGCTGGGTGTTTATGGAAAGAAAGTCAACTTTTCTGGTTCAGCAACATTCCTGCAAGTATCAACCTGAACCTGTTATGACATCAGCTGCTGGAAAACGAAGCGTCCAGCTGCTCTCTCACTCGTGTAAAATTAAACCATGAAACCGGTAAAAGCTGTACTTCTGAGGCCAGCTTTTGTTTACAGTGTTTATTTATTATTAATGCTGAAAAGCCGACTGTTTCACAGAGAAAACTCAGGTGAGCTTCTGTCTGTGTTTTTAACATGCCTGTGGGTGTTGTATAAGTCTAAATATGTGTGTGTGTGCACGCGTTTGTGTGTCTACATCCAACAATTGTCTTTCTTTACCTGTGGTGTTTATTTCTTGCACATCCAGGCTACCTAATCCTCTCCTATAATTGTATTCATCAGCTATAAAGATCAACTGAAAGAGGAGAGCTCACCGGGGGAGGTAAACCCTCGGCTGTTTTCCTTCCAGGAGGAATCTCTGACCCATCCGGCCTTTTCTTCACGTCTTTCTTGGGCTTTTCGCTGACCTGCTCGCTGACATCTCCCTCCGACACCGATGGCATGATCTCAGGCTGCCGCATTTCTGACAGCAGGTAAAGAGGCTCGCCTTTATGGATCAGAGGGTGGACTTTGTAGACCAACGAGCTGCTGATAGAGGGGTCCAGGGCAGACCCGATGGGGTAAGCAGGAGGAGGTTCGGCTGGAGTCTGCTGCTGTGCAGTTAGAGAACAGAGGGACGTCAGACTGCGGTGCTGCTGTGGCGGCTGCTCAGGAATCACACCTGAGACGGCCTCCAGTGAAAGTGGAGTGTGACGTCCATTTTCATCCTCAAACTCTTCCTCTTCTCCGCTGCTGTGAACGAGCATCGTAGCATCGGACAGAGACTTCTTGTGGCCGTACTGCACGTCCTCTTTCACGTCCCCCCTCTCTTCTGTCTTTATTCGTTCCAGGAACACGTTGAGCTGGGACTCCTGAGAGTGACCGGCGTGCACCTCCGCCGACGGGGCGGTCGCCTCTGCTGCAGAGGAGGACATGGCTCGCTCTTGGAGCCTCATCCCCTCCAGGCTGTGAGCCAAACCAGCGATCTCGATGGAGTTGCGTTTCTGAGCGTGGTGCAGCTGTCGGTGTGGCAGTCCACTGAAGAGCGGCTCTGAGACCTCTTGTAACGAGTGTGCTACCGGCAGGCTGTCCTCCTGAAAGGTTTGGACTGAGTGATGGACACGCCTGGTGATGATCAGGTCTGGATTGCTGCTGCTGACGTACAGGTGACGAGAAAGGTCAGGTGTGCTGTTGGCAGGGCGAGGGTGGGCGAACGGGTAGGGTGGGGGGGGTCTGTAGACTTGTGTTCTCATGATGTTGGTGGCAGGATACTCTTGTGCGTGTTGTAACTGGACATTGGTGAGCTCCGGGACACTCACAGCTCCCACAACGGGCCTCCTCTCCACAGGATAGGGGTATGGAGAAGGACTGTGGAAGCTGGAGCCCAGATGGAAGGGATACTGGTGGTGATGGGACGTTCCACCATGTTCTATCCGGATCTCTGGCTGGCTGTAAACTAGAGGGTCTGGTCTACTGTAGGCATACGAGTTTCCGATATGCAAGTTCCTCATGGAGAGACTCTGCCGATGCTCCTGAGACAAAACCATTCCTCCGCCTGCACCTCGGTTCTTCTGCCGCATCACTGTCTCGTAATCTGGAGTGGCGCGATAGGAGGGTGGGATGAGAGCGCTGTGACGGTGGGAGGGAACAAAATCCGGCCTGGTAATGTCACTGGTGATGGACGGGTTGGAGGACATGGGTGATGGCTGAAGGTAGTGCTGGGGATTGGTCAGGGAGCTCGTACTGTGGGCGCTGTACACACTGCCGTTACGCAAACGCCCTCCGCTGCCGTATTCCATAGGAAAGCGGTCCAGACTGGTCTGAGAGTGGTAGTAGAACCCGTTCTGAGTGTTCATGTACAGGTTGTCTGTGAGGAAAATAAACAGCTAGATGATGTAAGGACTAGAAGTCATTTATCAGATCATGAACTGATTTCTTATCCGTTCTTACCTTGAGATGATGTGTAGTCGGTGAAATGACCGTTGTAGTGCATCTGTGACGCAGGCATCATGTAGGCCTGAGGCTTTGGCTGCAAATCAATTAAAAAGTGATTTAGAGATCACATGACCAAAAATCTCTCCAAGGGTTTGAATAAAATTAGCTTTCACAAACTCAAAGTGCTTTATTACTGACTCAGCTCAGACAAGAGGAGATGTTTAGTAAACTGTAACTTTACAGAAATGTAAGAATTCAAACGTTACCGGAGGCATTCTGGTAGAAGACCTCCGTCTGACCGGGTTGACGGCTGCATGTTGGGCTTGGCTGGAAGGGAGGTGAGAAAAGGAGACATTTAAAAAAAAAAAAGAATATAAGCAAATCGAACCATTTTCCTAAAGGTTTAAGATTTACCAGAAAGACTATCAAAACATGTCACAACAGTGTCAGTAACCATACCAGCGTGATGAACGAAGAAATACTTCAGCGGCACGTTTGAGTTCTGAATACTTTCTTTTCTGTCTTTAAATTCACTCGTTCTTTAAAAACAAAAAATCACTCAGCCCAGGCTTTATTTTAATGTTTTACAGATCTAATTTATAGTTAGGGTGAGAAAAAAAAGGATCTGATGTTTCATCTCTGCCAGAGTCGCTATTAAAAGCTGCCAATCTCACGTTTAACAAATAAAGAATAAAGGTTTTGGTTTGAGAAGGTGGATGACGATACACTGCAGGCGGTGGCTGACAGTGTTGCTCACCCCTTATCTGAAGGCAGAGAGGTGCGAGAGAGCATTGGGAAACGAGGAAAGGACAGAGTGAGAAGGGACTTCTGGGAGCCCTCAGAAGGCAGGGGGACACACTCCTCTCTGAAGAGAGACAGAGAGAGGAGAAGTGGACAGAGCTCAAGTACACAAAAGAGGAAAACATGCAGAGAGACGGCGTGGGACAACGAGACAAGACACTCACAGGCTGCTCTTGTTGATCTTATAAAACTTGAGTCTGGCGAGACACATGCGACACACGTATTTAGAGGTCTCCATGTCTTCCTGCAAATGAGGACAGAGTTGGTAAAGGGTTCCTGCAAACATCATTCTTTTACCTAATGGCATCACCCGATGACCAGACCTCCACATTCAGGTCAGCTGAAGGTAAAAGTCCATGTTGAATGCAAAATGCCACTTTAGCCAAATCAAATCAAAGGTAACAATAGAGGCAGACTTACGGTCTGATACTGAACACTCTCCTCCCTGTTGGTCAGCTCCAGGGCAAAGAAGGACCTGTTGTGAGTCATGTTGTTGATTTCATCCCACCTACACGGCAAGTTAGAGCGTAAACAACAACAACAGGATGTCACTGCAGACACTGGCTCCTGTCACCATGAAGGGTAAAGAGGAGGTATAGTGTCTTTTTTGTTGTGAGATGACTGACTCGGAACTAGCTTAAAGTGTTCAAAATAACCTTTATTAACACTTTTATTTATTTATCTATTTCAAAATAAGGACATTTGTTCACATATTTCAAAATAAGACGAAGTCACAAGCATTTTTGTGTGAAAGCTGTGATTTCAGTTTTTCAAACAGATTATTTTAGCTCATTAAATTTATCAACATGTGATAATAAATAAATAAATAAATGAGTAAATAAGTAAGTAAGTAAACTAAGTAAGTAAGTAAGTAAATAAATAAATACATTTTGGGTCATTTAAACACTTTTATTTACAATCCTCAGATAATCTAATAAAGACTCCACCCATAGTGATGAGAACCAGTAATTATTGCTATACGGTAGAAAAAGAGCTAATTCGCTCCCAGGTAGCACACAATAATTTTACCTTTAACCGCGTTTATTTCTAGCAAATAATAAACTGAAACTTTAAAAACTACTGTTAGCTCTCTGTTACAAATGTGACATCAAATTTATTAGTGAAAATATTTAATCATGACAGCAAAGTGAATCCCATCTGAGCCCTTCTATAAAAAGCCTGCTTGTTTTTTCAGACTTACCTGAACAACAGAGGAGGACGTCCATTCTTATATTTAACAACAATCCCATCAAGGCAGGATCCCAGAGTAGCATCTGTGCCTGTGCTGTCCTGTTGAGGCATGCTTTTGTTATTCCAGTGTCAACTGTTTTTATTCCTTATAAAGGTACGAGCTGCGGCCGCCTGCGTTTGGGCTTCCTTGACCTACTTTTGCTTGATAGCTCTCCTGGCCGTAACCTTCCATTTTCTCCACCTCCTGCATGTACAACATCTCTGCATCCGATGCTGGCAAACCTCTGGAAACCAAAGAGAATTAAAAAAACACCGACTCTTTTCTATGCAGAATTTAAGGCTTTAAGTTTTTGTCTCTATAAATGGACTGAGTTAATAACTGGTAAAAGTCCTGTGCAGGTTGGAAGTCAAACACACACTCACCTTAGCGACTGATATCGGAGAGCCACTTTCTGCGTGGCCTCCTCCAGCACCCGCTCATCCTGAATCCAGTCCTGCACAAACAGAGTTCAGGTTAAGCCGAATAAATGAAACAGAAGATATTAAATTACTTTTATGACTTGTGCAGTGCAAGCATGCTTACAATGGGGAACAGTGCAAACTTCTGTAGAAAATCCTGGGAATCATAGCGATTGAAATCTCCAAAGTCAGCTGTGGGTAAAAACAAACAATGCTGCTAAGGACAGACATGCACTTGATGGCAAAACCCTCAAAATGAAACTTATTACATCCAGCATTGCATCCATTACAGGACGAGTCGTTGTGCAACTGCAGTGTGGTGTAATGCCTTTAGGAGAGCTAGAAAGCAGAGAACATGCGGGTCTCATTTAGGAGAACAAAAGAACGTTCTCTTTGTTTATGTTTGTTTATGCTTTTGGTAACAAACAGTAAAGTTTAGAAGTTTCTCTGTGAAATGAAACATTCATGAATGCTGAGGTTTCTCTTAAAAGTACATACATAACGAAATAATGAACATGAACGCAACAGTAAGTGATTAACTTATGTATTTTGTTGTCAAAATTTTCACGTTGTACACATTATTGTAACACTGACCTCTTGTTAACAGACATTTGACAAATAACGCAAACTTGAAACTTGTTAATATGTTGAAACTTTGCTTTCTGAACAAACCACTGCAGGCAAGAAAGATATGCACACATAAATGCAACAAAATGAACATTTTAGGTGGGAAAAACAAAAAACTCGGGACAGTCCTACGTCACAGGGCAGACTAGCTTAACTTGCTAACATAAGGATGAAATAATAAATGTTACCTTGCACAGCTAAGCTAGCTAAACGTATAGCTTGGTCCAGCGAGCATGAGATTTTGCCCTCCAGAACATCTTTCTTCAGCTGTAGGTAATACTGATATCTGCAAGACAGAGGGGCCAAACATGATCTCGTATGGAGAACAAAACCTCGAACGTAAAACCAAACAAACACGGTTTTGTTCTGACACTGATCGTCCATCATATTCTTTAGCTGATACATGTATTTTTCTACACAATACTGTAAAGATAAGTAGTTCCACCTTGTTATTTCCTGCTGCAGCTGGTTGACACTGGGTATGTAAAACAACACTCCAAAGTAAACAGTGGGCTCCTGGCCGTGCTTGTCCAGCTGTTTCTTTAGCACCTTCTCCAGGTCCACCCATCTCTGCTGGTTCTGCTTATTGAAGTACCACAGACTGAAGTATGTAATCTAAAAAAATATAAATAAAACATCAGGAAGATCCTCCCTTAACCACAAATGACTAAGGCATTCTACACATCATCAGTTGCATCGTACTACTAGAGGTCAGCGTTTGATTTGCACCAAAAGAAAAGAAAATACACAAATGTTTGCATGTAAATTCTTACAAAAATTAGATACACAGCTTTTGAATATCAATATAACATTGCAGGAAATTTGCTCCCAGAATCAAATGCAATGAGGAAATCATCATAATTGTACTTAAATTCAAATCGAATACACATAACTGCAATGTTAACCCAGCTAGCATAAAAAGTGCTAAAAAGTCATCACTTTGTGTTGCAACTGTCCTTATCAGGATTATTGTGGATGAGTTTGAATTTCAGGATTTACAATAAAAAGTGGAATAAAAGCTAAATATGTTTTTTGAAAAATCCCTTGAGCCAGGTTCACCCATAAATACAGACAGAAAACTTGCATTTCATGGCTTCTGGATGTTTGACAACAACAAAACCTTTTAAGTACTCCGGACATCAACTTAGACACTTCAGGCATCTATCAGCTAATACGTTTTTCCACTTCCCTTTTTTTTCCTACAACCTTTTTTAGTTGGAACTTTTTTAACATCAAAACATGGGTACACAAACATACATTTTATACAGTCAAAATATTATTTCAGGTCTTTAAAATAAATGAAATCTATGTTAGTCCTGCTTACTTTTATTTAATTTGAGGAATAAACTCCAGTTCTGAACTTTTATCCAACATTTAGAGAATAACCTATTCCATCCAGAAATAAGAACGTTACATAACAATTATTTCAACGTGACTTCATATCACTTCTTACATCATTTATTTATTTGTGTTTTAGTTTCTGCAAATAAAAGTAAGCAGAACAGGAGAGGACCTAAGGTGAGAGGAAATAAAAGGACTGGCTAAATAAAATAAAAAAATAAAAACATCTCGTTATTGGGCTGTCACTTAAAATCAGTGTCAACTTAACAGCTTTATTATTTAATCGTTGTTTTACCGCAGCTTTTCAATGATTTTTTTTATATTTATTTTGGGGCCTTTTAGGAATTTAAATATCCTTAGAGATGTAAAGCTGAGATTGACGTCAGATTAAATGACTCACTTCAGGTCAAATGCAGAAGAACAGAAAGAAAACAAAGAATTACATCTAAAAGTGATTTACTTTAGTGAGATTTGGGAAGACTGCAACTTTCCTTGTCCATTGATGTTAGCGATGGCCCTTGTTTTTTTAATTAAATACTGAAATATTTTCCAAAGCTGAGGGTGAGCTGCTCAGGCATGAATTAATTTATGTGCACTATTAAAATAACATCCCCAGAGAGGAAAAGGATTGTGTAAGATGATTTTTGAGTAAACAAGACAAAGTGCTCATCTTTGTCGATGATGTTTGACTTAAAGTTATGGGAGCAGAAGACAAACTAAACCCCAACACCTAACTGCTGAGATGGCAAGTCTCAAGAGTCAATCAGAGAGAACAATCAGTGCTTGTATTGAATGAAAACCCATACATACCTCTCTTAACTCGAGTCGCTGGGCTACTGCCTCCAAACATTCCTGCCCAGTGCTCTCCACAGACAGAGTAAACTCCACAAACTCTCCATTGAGGAGCTGGATCCGAGTGACGAGGCAACTCTTGCTCGAAACTGTATACCTTCTAGTCCTTTTGAGCTTAAAGCCAAACGGCAAGGGCATGTTTCACACTTCTTACAGAAGAAACTCCCCCACCTGTTCCAGTGTTTCTCCTCAAGTCCACCTCAAAACTGTGTGGATGATTCAAGTCATGAGGCTCATCACTGACAGATCTGTAATGTGAGAGGATCAGATCAGGATTATTTCTATTACGTATTGTAGACAGCAAGATACTAAGTCATGGTTTACGTTTGCTCTTAATCATCACTCACAAATGTTGCACTGCTTTTATACGGTTCAGGTCGCCCCACCTGGTGTGTCACAAAGGCAAAACAGACAAACACATGGTTTCACGTTTAGGTAAATACTTTTTCATGTTGTCCACCTGGGTCTACAGACACGCTTTACTCACTCTGGTGAAATTCAGGCTGACTCAGACTGATTTATTGTAAACGAAAGTGTATACATATATGAAATAAAAAGGTCAAACTAGCATTTATCTATTTTTAAAGCTTGTTTGTAGACAGATAATCCCTTTCCAGGTAATAGTCGGGTCCAAACACCAAAGAGCGTCCTGATTCAATAAACAAGCGTCTGTACGCTTACTTTGTTGCGAATCGTTCAAACTTTAACACAATAGCCCTATTTACATTTTAATATCGTAGAGGCTTATTTTGTGTTTAAAATTTTAAAAGAATGTTACCAATCTCTCATTTCAAATTTTAAAAAGTCACCCTTAAAATTAGCCCTAAAGCTAGGTAGCGAACTAGTATTTCAGCAAATAGACGACACCCTAGGGAGGCTGACGTCGCTGGTAAATATTTTGGAAGGAAAAAATAACGTTACCGTTAGCCAAGAGATGTAATCCACTAGTTCATTTACTAGCAGGTCCTTAAATAATCCGTCATCGAGATGAAGTGATAATAACGCTTTAAGTAACTGAAACCTGAAGGAGTTTATTAAACCGTAGTTAGTTTCTGGACCCGCACTAGCGAAGCAACTCCATGGCTCTAAGTCCAGCAGTTAAGTTCTAAGCATGTTTCGCTTCCTAGGATTGGAGGAGCAACAAGTACACGACGTCTGCATCCGCGACGCTATATTTGTTGTATTTGAATTACAGTGCTTACTTGACTGCCACACTAATCTAGTAAAAAACGCCAACTCTCGTATGAATGAGTACGAGCTGTTTTCTTCACCACATTAACTACTAAATACATTTAAAATCAATTGTAGTCCCCCTGTGGCGGAGGGATATACGAGGCTATTCAGAGTGCTGTGACATCAGACAGCTGGAATGCTGAGCGGTGAAAATGCCAGAAATGGGACAGCTGTCACGAACAGCAGGGCGCAGACATGTTTGTTTACCTTTTGCTACCACTCACAGCCCACCAGGACCACTGTAATCACCTACGGCATTACTGAGCATTATTTGTAACACCACACAGTCCTAAACACTGGTGAGGATTTCAGGGTTGTAATTTACCAGTTAAAAATAGTTTACTCATTAAAAACTAACAATTTATTGCAGTTTAAAGACTCTGGTGAAAAAAGAAACATTAGTTTTTACAGACTACAGAAGAACACGCCAGGTTACACGTTACACAAAATCAATGGTTTTCACAGTTCTCCATAACTGAAAATGTTATCTACAGCTACACAGCGCTCAAAATAGGACTAACTCCACACATCTAGCTTTTAGAAATTGTCAAATAATATATAGTTTTAACAGTTTCCAAAAATAATAATAAATAAATAAATAAAACATGCAATACAATTGAAGGAGGAACAAAAAAGAAAACAGGACACAACCAGTGTGGAATTATTTTAACCATCTATATTTCATAATTTTCCCCTTTTTTGCAACAATACTCTTTTAGGAACCAAACACACTAAATACTGAGAACAGCAAAACCTCAGAACTCATCATCACTGTTTGTGTGTGGCCCGTTAGCCGTTTCTACATCCTCAGATTGCGTGTTGCTGGAAACATGTAACACCTCTGATAATGTTCTTCCTAGATACTCAAGCTCTTCAGATTCTCCATCTTTCTGGATGTCAGCTTGTTTCTGATCACCGTCTATCCTGGTGTGCACATAGTTGTCATCAGGAATATTTACTGCAGTTGTGTCTACTTGAAGGACACTCTCTTGATTACCATCTTCATTACTAGCAGCATCTTCACTGATCAAGGTCGAACCAGTTTCCTTTTCATCAGTGTCACCCTCTTCCTCCTTCTCATCCGTTTTGGCTGAAGGAAAAGTTCTTACAGGAAGACTTAACAGTGCAGAATCCAGTAAAAGATCACCATATTGTGTCAAACCATTGCGGTCTTCTTCGGTCTTTACGTGTTCCCACCCAGACTGCAGATGTAAAAATACTGGATGAGATAAGTCGTTTAGTTCCTTTGGTGGCTCTGTGCTGGCTGGCTGTTCAAATTCTTTACGCAGCACTTCCAGAAGGTGGCACATTTTACCCTAAAAAATAAAAAAGATATTTTTCAGAAACCGTAAACAAAACATTGTTTACTATAATTGGAGTTAATTATGAAATAGGGACATACCTCATCCAGTCGATGCAGATTCATGTCAATATGCCGATTCATCACTCGATCTATGATGCTTTGAAAGAAGATGGATCTTAAGGAATAACTCTTAAACTAGATGATCTAAGTTAGTGACGTATAATCCTGCAATCTAGCAATCAAAACGTGTATGCAGTCTGTTAAAATGGCTAAATATTTAGCTGTTAAATGCAAATAATTTAAAGTTTCAGGTGGTTAATAGAAGAAAAACCTGTCAGAGATGTGCGCCTTGGACAATATATCTTCCGTCACAGCAGAAATGAATTCAAGGTACATTAACTCTTCTTCCCTGTTGAAAACAAATACAGATTACAATTAAAAGCTTGTTTAAAAAGTTTTTTTAAGTTATTTTCAATATCTCTTCTGAAGACTTGTAAAATACCCAGAAGGACTCACTCTGCAGATATCCCGCTCCTGGAGGGAGGTGTCGTGTCTTCTGGTACGGCTCTAGAAGAGACACTTTTATTGAATTTTGCTCCGGAGAGCATCATGAATTCAACAATAACGACATTTTCACGACATTTTTTTTCACCTGGACAAAGAACTAAAAAGATAAGGGTCTGTGTAATTGTCCTTGTCACCAACCCACTCATGTGCTGCAGAACATTCCTGCAAAAGAAGAATGGATGAAAAATGACAGGAAGCATTTAGTAACATCTACATTTCCCTTTGCACTTAAACACACTGGTGCAAAAATGAACACTTTCAAACATATTTAGTTAGAATATTATGATGCACCAAAATTTAATCCAACTGTACTTTTGTCTTCTTTGGCCTATTTTATTATTCAATCCCTCAGCTTGCAGACTCTCCAAGTGTGCATATATAACTCTGCCAAGATATTAGCCTCTCAGCACTTTTACAAACTTTCCTCAAACTAAATGCAACGCTTAAACTGTTAACAACAAGCTGCAATAAAATAATACTAGTTACAGCTAACTTTCACTCAGTTAGCACTATAATGATGGACTTCTGTTATAAAAAGCAGCACCTGCTTGTACTGCTGCAGGATCTCACTATAACTGTTAATATGCTGCAGATTCACGACAGAAATTCTGATTCTTTTCTATCATGCCGTAAAACCGATATGAACATGCCAAAAGTTCATAAACTTTATTTTAGTGAAAGATGACTTAAAAAGCAGACAAAACATTTGACCTGAGATGGCTCATCAAATTCTTGTGTGGATTCCTTGTTTTCTGTGCTGCATGCAAAAATAGAAATAAAAAACTAATAAGAGAAACGCTTTTGTTTTACTACAGACTAAATTCCACGTTTACTGAGTACCTTTGCTCACACATTTCCTGTTGCATCCAGTTGCTGCCATCCTGAGAAGATTTAATCTTTGGAGCTCTGTAGTAACGATATTTGGACAGATATGAACTCTTATCTGATTTTAGAGTTTTGGGAGTGAATGGCTTCGCTTGGGTAAAGTGCTGTGAATGTTTTTGTAGCAAGTCTCCACCGTACGTCTTCTTGACCGGGTCCTGAAAGGCTTTGTAACAATCCTGATCTCTCACAGCTCCCAGTGAAAATGTTGACTGCTTTCTATGAAAACCTTCTGGGCTCCGGTACTTCATCTCTGATGACGGGCGGCTGTAGTGGGCACCAACTTTCTTTGATGGATAAACTATGTCCTTGTTATTGAAGGAGGAGTTGAACTTTGAGCTGGAGATGATGGAGCTCCTGGAGCAGAGGTACGGGCGGTCATCATACTGCTTGGAGAACAGATTTAATCAAATCTCAGGCTTGGGATAAAGTAAAAAAAATAAAAACATGTAATTAATTAATTAATAAGTGATTCTTATCTGATCTGATACCTGGGCTGAGGGGCAAGAGGTTCTGCTGTTTATCTGTGAGAAAGAGAGGGCTGACTGAGGGCGAGCAGCTCTTCTCAGCTGCTCCTTCCTGATCTGGTCCTTGTCTGTAAGCAGTAACAAGTTGCTCTTTTTAATTATTTTTTTATTTGATTTTTGACAGATTTATAGTTACAGGAATAACTCTACATAGTCTAAAGACAAAAACAACACTGTGTGACATGTATTGCTTAATAAAGAAGTGGTATTAATATAGTCAAATTAAGATAGGAGTAAATTCAATCCTAATCTCAGATGTAATGTTTGACTTTTCTTCACAAGTAATAAAGAAAATGAAGTAACTGGCTGCCATTATTTTCTCAATATGACTTCCAAAAATGCTGGGTCCATCTTTCATGTTTACAATTAATGTCACTATTGTTTTTGAGTGCAAACAGGTATTTTAAAACACATTCCTGTAAAATTTTAGTAATTCCACAAAAGGGCATCATGGATTTAGCCGTTTGCTTTTGCTCTCTAGATTTTTCTAGCTCAGGGGAGGGTTGCTATCCTGTAAATTTTAAATGTTCCTCTTCTTTAACACACCTGATTGAAAAAAATGAGTAAAAAAACAGGGTTCTGCATAACTCAACATATTGATGGGGTGAATAAATGAAGTATCAGTGGAACATTTCAAATTAAAACAAATGAATTTGCAAATTTGTGGTTTTAATTCAAGAGTATTTGAAACAATTCTCAATAAAGTAGCCTATTTAATAATAATGTTGAACTGACACATGGATACTTACATTTTACACTTTGCAACAAGCTTTTGGGTACGGAGGTATCTATGGCAGCTGTAAAGTAGGATCAAATATTTAATAAAGTTCAAGAAACTGCTTAAATATTTAAAGGATAATAATGTATGAATACTACATATTTTACCTTTAGCTGAGTAAACCTTTTTGTAATGAGACAGCATGTGGTCTTTAATTATGGACTTTGTCAATGGGGTGGAGGAGTGAGGATAAAAAGCTAAACACACCAGAAACCACAAAGTAAACAACAAGATTGAGTCATCATCTAATAAATAAATAATACTCGTAGACAAAACTCAATACTTACAACTACTTTTTGAAGTTTTCCCTCTCAGTTCAGTGCTGGATCCTAATCCAGATGATACACTCCCTTTAAGAAGAAGAGATGCTAAATCAATTTAGGCTGGAAATTTTACAGTATAAATTTAGGCAAGGTCAACAACAACAACCAAATATTCTATCTTTCTGAATGTGTCTAATATGTGAGCATAAAATCATTAAAATAACATCTATATATTAAAGTTGATTATTACTACAATCTAATGATATCAATACATTAAACTAATTATGTATGGATAAAAGGGACAACATACTAAAAGATACAGCAAATTGGTTATGATAACTTCATAAACATATTTATAAAAACAAGAGGTCGTAAACAAAAGTTTTACCTAAAATATTGATAAATTTAAGCCAACAAAATGCCAGTTTTAGCTTCAGTTTTTGTGTTTTTAGCTTTAATTTAGTTTTGTTTTGAAAGCGCTTCTGCATCCGCTAGCTACACGGCTGGACAAAGCTAATGTTTTCATACTTGTTCTCGATTCCATTTGCGTTTTAAATCCATTGAATCCCATTTTCCTCAGATAAACTCCGCAGTAATGAAGGAAGACCTCGGACGCACCCATCTGCTTCGCGGTTCTTCATTGTTAACATATTAAAGCAGTAAAATAACCAAGTAAACAACTAGCTTATACGAATAAAGAGTGAAGCTTCCCCGTCGCCATGCTGGTTGCTATGAACGTCTACGTCATCACGCTTGTGCGTGCGGGAGGACGTCCTAGTGGTAGGAATGGGATGTGCTGTACTCATACAGTCTATGGCTGTACTCGAAAATTGTCATCCTTTCATCAACGAACAGGAATTTAAAGTTTGTCTTGCGACATACGCATACTATTTACGGCATATAGACTCAAAATTACTGGGAAAAAAGTTAAAAATGTCTATTTTTAGATTTTCTGGGTCCAAAAAGTCATCCATAAATCACAATAATGTGACTGGGACATCTGTGTTGATGCCTCAGAAAACCCATTTAATTCTACTGATTTGAAAATAAATACACAATAAAAATAATTTACCAAATGGCCTAATATGTAATGACATTGTCAGTTTTACTGTTTTATAATAGAAAGAAGCAGGTTTCTTCATTTATGTACATCATAAAAAAAGAAATAACTGACAAGTACTGAAAATACAAAATGTGTGCACTCTTTTTACCTAAAACTTTGAATTTTGGGATCTTGTAAGAGAGAACATGAAGTCAGTTGGTATGAGGATAGTGGATGAAGAAGATAGGACTATATAATAATATCTAAGCGAAAGCTACAAACTCACTGACCCTTTGACCCAAAATATATCTGAAACAGCATGTGCTCATTAAAACCAAAGCTGTAATTATGGATTAAAGCTGTGAGGCTACCCTAGAGTCAGTTTTAAATCCCTACCAGATCCACCATGGTGATAAATCACTGCAACAATGGTACCTGTTTTGTTATCACTAAGGAACAGAGGCCCGTGTGCCATTATGAAGCATCTTTGACCTAATTTGTTTTTAGGATGTGACAGTCAGGTGATGAGGGTAGAGGGGTCAAGGTGTTGGTCAGGTGAATATTCTGTCAACATTTTCTTTAGGATTCTGTTATCTTTCTTGTATTGTTCCACTAATCTTTTAGCGTTTCACATCTTTCACCAACATTGGCAAAATGACAGTGTAGGAAGAAAAGTGTGAAGCTGCATATTTAAATGCACATTGACAGGCTTTTTCAATATTTAAAACTATTAAGTTTCCTACAGTGTTACACATCAAAGTGAGATCCAGGGCTATAAACAATGAGGCAGAGCCTGAAGTGGACTCACAAGAAAACATAGGAAAACCTTCAGAGTCCATTGTGAATGGATATGTGGGAATGGATGGATCAACTACTGGTGCTGAGACTATAGAGCACATCTTAGCGATAGTTCCAGTTCAAGTTAAACACAAAAGGAGTCATCGAGTAACCATGCCTTTCTCGACCCAGGCTCAACCGCCTGCTTCTGTACCGAAGAGTTAAGGAGAGAACTAAGTCTCCCTAGCAGGATAACATGCATCTTACTGAAAACTATGGGAGATCAAAAGGTCGTCAACAGTCACATCGTTTCTGGCTTGGAAATAAGCAGCGTGGATAACAATGACTTTCTAGAGCTCCCAGATATGTTCAGCCAGAGTACCATTCCTGCATCTGCAGTTAACGTTCCTACACAAGATTATGTAAACAAGTGGACCCATCTTCAGCAGGTGTCTATCCCAAAAATTGGACTCCTTATAGGGACTAATGCACCCAAAGCTATTGAACCCTGGAAGGTCATTGCAAGCAAAAATGACGGTCCTTATGCTTTTAAAACAAGGCTTGGCTGGACTGTCAGTGAACCCATAAGAGAAGATGCTTCTAACAATGCCACTAGTGAACTGATACAAGTTTCAGCAAACCGCATATCAGTGAGCAGACTAGACAAACTCTGGACTCAGCAGTTCAGAAGTGACTTTCCTGAATGTGAAAGGGAAGACAAGTTGGAAATGTCAAGGAAAGATTTGCAGTTTCTTGAGATGGTGACGCTCTCAGCTACCTTGGCGAATGTATCGCCTGTCACGGTCTACCTCCATCTGCTGTGAGTTTGGTCAGCGCTGTGTTTACAGGTGGGCATGGCACTCATCACAGCTGCATGGAGTTTCCACTAATCGGAGCCACCAGGATTTAAGGAGCGATGGGACTCAACTCCAGCGCCGGTCGATACTCTCATATGGGTAGCCTCTAGCCTCCTAAACTGTCCTGGTCCTGCGTTCTGAGCTAATGAGTTTGTTTGTCCTGTTCCAGTTTCCTGTTCTGAACCACCTACCTGGTCTGGAGTTGTTTCCCGTCTCACCGCTCAAGGATCCTCAGGTCTCCGATCTCCTTGCCCGCCTGCCTGTCCACGCTCAGCACCATCCTCACCACTCCAGCCTCTCCCAGTCCGCCTCCGCACAACTTCTGGTCTCTGACCGTAAGAACTCTCAGTCACTCAGTCAGATTCTCCTGGTTCTCTGGTTCCGGTCTCACTCACCTCTCCTCTTATCTTTTATAGATTCCGGTCCCGTGCCGTTCCTGTGTTTCAGACGCAGCGCCTTTAGTTCTAGTTTTGTTCCCTTATTTCTGTTTTAAGAAATAAAACATTTATATTTTTCTTACTCTGTCGTGATTCTTCATGTCCTGGGTGAAAGCTCTTACCCACAGCTTGACATCGCCTTGCCACTGAGAAACAAAAACGTCAAAATGCCCAAAAATCGTGAAGTTGCTGTGCAATGAGCTTTAAGCTTAAAGCGGAAGTTTATCAAGAACCCTACATATCACACAGAATATTCAACCTTCATAAGAGACATTATTAATCAATTTCCCTCTGGGATTAATAAAGTATTTTTGAATTGAATTGAATTAACAAGGGCTATGCTGTAAAGGTACCCAACAAAGACCTCAGCAGACACGATGGTAAAGTCTGGTACTTACTGCACCATGGGGTGTATCACCCCAAGAAGCACAAACTCAGAGTAGTCTTCGACAGTGGGGCGTCGCACCAAGGCACCATTCTGAATAACGAACTGTCACAAGGGCCAAACCTTACTAGTACCCTGCTTGGTGTCATTATAAGGTTCAGACAAGAAGAAGAGGCAATAATGGCAGATGTGGAAATGATCCACCAGGTTAAGGTCCCTGACAAAGACGCTGACCTTCTGCGATTTCTCTGGTGGATGTCAGGTGACATCGTCCAGGAGATGGATGAGTACAAGATGGTTGTACACCTTTTCAGTGCTACTTCATCACCGAGCTGCGCCAGCTTTGCCTTGCGCAAGTGTGCTGAAGACAACAGAGATCAGTCAAATTGCCAGGCAGTCAAAACAGTGCTGCACAATTTCTGCATGGATGACTGCCTAAAGTCAGTTTGCTCAGAAGAAGAGGCTTTGCAATCTACCACTCACTTAGAGCTGTATGTGAGAAAGGTGGATTCAAACCACGAAGTGGATAAGCAATAGCAGAGCAGCGCTGTCAACTATCCCAGGGGAGGTGAGGGTGACGGAAGTCAAATACCTTGACCTAGATCGGGACGCACTTCCCATGGAAAGAGCTTTGGGAAGTTCACTTGTGTTTCGAATCTGACAGCTTCAAGTTCAAGATCATCATGTCAGAAAAGGTTCAGACTAGGAGGAACATTTTATCACTCGTAAGCTCTGTTTATGACCCTCGGGGTATTCTAGCACCAGTTATTCTACTGGCAATGAAAATCTTGCAAGAGCTGTGCAGACAGAAAATAGGCTGGGAGGTTGTCATTCCAGATGACCTTTTTCACAAGGGGCACAAGTGGAAAACGCAGCTTCTCCAGTTTAGGAGTTTCAGCCTCTCAAGATGTTTTAAGCCAGCTGGCTTTGGAGAGACAACGTTCAATCAACTGCATCACTTTGCTGACGCCAGTGAAGAGGCATATGGTACTGTTAGCTACTTGTTACAGAAGAACAGCAGCAACAAAGTTCACTATGCATGGGTGGCCCCAATTAAACCCATGACAATCCCACGAATGGAGTTAACAGCAGCCACTATGGCAGCTCGTATGGACAAGTTATTTCTTCCTGGCACTCGCGGAGTACAGACGCTTCTCTTTTCGCTCCCTTATCTTTTTTTCCCAAGGCTCTTTGTCCTGTCTGCCCAAAGAGCGCTTCTCTGCATTTCTTCTGTAAAACCCTATTTTTAACCATGGATTTGATAAATTGGTCATTCAACACGATTGATAAGATTTTTTCAACAATGAGAATGGAGCAGGGGACTCCCACATGCCCACAGGGGACACACCCGGCGGGGTATATGCGGGATTCCTGGAGGGAATGGAAGATCATATGCCTCCCCCAGCTGTACATTGAGGATGTCGAAGACATGTGGATATTCGGCCCGATGATCACTGGATTTTTCCTGATTGGAGTGGGAGGATATCTGGTTTTCTGGAAATTTGGGAAGACGGGAGCGATTGGAGGGCGACCCGCACCCACGGAAAGCACCGTCCGTGTGGAGAGTTCACAGACTGGGATGTTACTCGAGGTGAATCGTAAGCTGGACAATGTTCTAGCTGCAATACACAATGCAAAATGGATGTCATCTCGGAGAGAGTCACCGGACGGTATGGACAAGTTTAAAAACCCAAACTGGCCTTACTGAAGGACTGGAATGATCAGTTTAAAGACTGAAGGCAGAGAGGAAAATTATCTCAGCCTGACCCAAACAAATTCTTGTTATCTGAATCTGACGCCCTAGCAGCATTGAGCGGCTACAACCCCCCATGAAGGAATGCAGACAGATGCTGTGAAAACCCGACCTAGAAACCCTTGATTGATTGATTGATTGATTGGGTTACTTACATCAGAGCTACAGCTGCAACTTCAACCATCAGTGTTTTTGTCCAACAGTACAACAGTGCTGAAGTACATCTGCAACAAAACAAGTAGATTTTGTACCTTTGTTGCTAACCTTGTGGACACTATTCTGAAGAGCTCTGAGCCAAAGCAGTGGAGATATGTCAGTAGTTCTCAAAGCCCTGCAGACTTTGCGTCAAGGGGACTCAAAGTAGATAACTTCCCCCAAACCCACACTTGGTTACAGGGGCCGGATTTCCTCACCAAGTCCATGGAGAACTGGCCTAAGACACACAACCCTGGGGATTTAACCATGGAGGACCCAGAGGTAAAGAACGCTGTGGTCTACACTAATGTAGTTGAAGATCAAAGAAATGCAGTACAAATGTTTCTGCAATACTTTTCATCTTGGATACGACTAAAGAAAGCTGTCGCATGGATGCTTAAAGTCAAGAACAATCTTCTAATGCTGTGTCGCAAGAGAAAAGAGTTGAGTACTACTAAAACTTCAGCTGATATTGACAAAGAGATGAGGAGCTTCAAAGCAAAACTGCTGAATGCTGATTCTAATAGACTCACTGTGGAAAACCTAACTGCAGCAGAGCAAGCTAATATTCGCCACTGCCAACAAGGGACATTTGCCACAAAGATCACAGCACTTGAGCAGTGTGAAGGCGTGAAGAGGAACAGCAGCCTTTTCAAGCTCAACCCAGTCCTTGAGCAAGGCATTCACTTTTGTGTGAAGCAGAGTCTATCATCAACAGTAGGCCGGTAACAAAGGCATCAGATGATCCAAATAATCTAGAAGCTCTAACGCCCAATCACCTCTTGCTTCTCAAGACCAAGCCTTCTCTGCCCCCTGGTCTTTTTGACAGACAAGATGTCTACGCCAGGAGGAGGTGGAAACAGATCACTATTTATCTGACATATTCTGGAAGAGGTGGACCAGGGAATATCTGCCGCTACTTCAGGAGTGTCAAAAGTGGACCCATACATCTTGCAACTTCACCATTGGAGACATTGTGCTTATCATTGACGACTCAGCCCCACGCAACTCCTGGGTCACAGGAAAAGTAATCCAGACAACACCAGACAAGTACGGTCTGGCGCGCCAAGTAAAGCCTGATTCATGCTTCTCTGTCTGCGTCAGTGCGGAGACACGCAACGTCCTTGCGGGCCTGCCGGAGAGCTCCGCAAGGACAGACAGAGTCGAGCTCTCTTTTCTAAACATCCGTCAGTCGAGACGGACAACGCAAGCTTGTGATTGGTCAGGACGCCGCTGTTGTCTACAGCGTCGCCATTGCGCCCTCAAAAGCATAAAGAGAGCCGAGGATAACAAGCGGCAGACACGGAGAAGCTTGAAGAATGCCTCGCGAAAAACTCTAAAAACATGAACGTTTAATTCTCCTGTGACTGGAGGAGTGAAAAGATGCGCAGCGAGCGTTTTATTTGTGGAAGGAGATGACAGGAAACGTGGGTTTAGAGGTGGCGAGTGCATGAAGAGGTGGAAGAGAATGAGAGACAAATTTGTCTGTGTTAAAAAGTCTCTTATATACAAAAAACATAATATAAACACACTATCTTGGACCGGATACATGACAGGATACCACAGAACAGCGCTACGCCCTCTGTTGTCCTGCCGGGCAATTGCTTTGCAACACTCTCCAGGAGACGGAGAAGTATGAGAGCAAAACGCTTCCATCAATCCATGCAAGTCTGTCCCTTGCGGAGCTGACGGAGAAGCATGAACCAGGCTTTAGGGTGAAAATCAAGGCTAGTACTCTGGACAGAGCCATTACGAAGATTTGTCTCCGGCAAGAAGCTGATTAAAACAGCTGCCTACAGAGACTGATGAAGAAAGACTGTCTCAGCATAGAAAGACTTTGATACTTAAGCTCCACTCTTCCTCTTGGATCTTTTGGGGCAGTAACACTATGGTCAGCTTGGTTTGGGCTGATGGGGTCGTATTCACACCAACATTGTTGTTTGCATGGAGCCGACTGATTGTTTCCACCCTGTGTCCCAGTGATTTGTTTTGTGCTGAGCCGAGCCAACCATACACACCCACCTATGGACTAATTGGCCAGGTGAATTTATCTCACTCTCATGCTTACCTACCAGTGAACCTCTGACTGGCATGGTTAGATTGAGCCAGTGGTGGCTTCTGGAATTCTGGATGCAGTGGGGTAAATCTTCTCTGATTGCGGGTTGGATGTGCGGAGCTGCAGCAGTAGCGTGAGGATCGACTGTCTGCTGTGAGTGCTCTTGAATGGGAGAGGAGCCTTCTGCAACACAGCTGCTCAGGGACAGAGTAGGAAGCTGTATGATTCATGTCAAAGTCTCTAAAAGCAACACTTGTCACGCCTCTTTTTGTTTACCAACTTGTGGCTCTCAGGAGTGACACTACGGACTTCTCTGCACCACTAACTAATGTTTTAATGCAAGTGTCTTTGATCCTTGCCACTTCAATGGATCCCACCTATGTCCTGCCCATGTTTGCATTCCTGAGAAGGCTGTGTAAACCATTGTTAGCTTGTTTGACATGTATTTAATCCATTAAGACAGTGTGGTTGTTTTCTAAAATCTCTCCAAACTATCCAAATGGGAAAAAAACGTTCATCCATTTTCTGTCAGTGTTTGGTTTTAGGCAGGATTGCAATTTTTGGAGGAGTATGCAGACACGTAACTGAGTGCTTCTGTTATTATTTCATTTTCAGATCCACAAATGGCCAAGTACACATCTGTTATTAAACACAAGAAAAGCAGACTGTAAATAATTTGTGCATCATTGATTTGGCGCCCCCTTCAGGGTGGCACCCCTATGTGTTGTATACACTACATACCCACTTTTTGCACCAATGGCTTTCGGAATTATGTGCCTAAAACAGTTCCTGTATGTGATGTCACAAATAGGAAACTTAGCAAAGAACCATCTCTCACTTCTCCAGGCTGAAGGAGCAGCAACTCTACTCCGAGCCTCTCCCGGATATCCGAGCTTCTCAGCTTTTAGCAGCCTGAGCAGAGATGTGTGGGCGTGGCCATCTCCAGCTTGATCTCTTATGTGCAGAGCCCTGAATGCAGCTCATTCTGGAATGTATTGAAAATGTCTAAATAAAAGTGCTGCAATCATCTTTTATGCGAAGAATTTTGTGCAGACATTCATGAATATGTTTTATCAACCATAGAACTATTATAACTTAAGAAAACAGTCATAATGTCTCCTTTAAAGAGGGATCCTTTTCTTTTCTTTTCCACATGTATAGAATGGCAAGGCTTGCATAAGATTTTTTAATATTACTTAAGGATTAAATTTTTTTTTGTTAAAAACTGGTTGTTAACCTTATAGTTTAATGTTTAAATATAAAATAAACAACAATTTATTTCAAATCTTTCATTTCACGATAAACATTGATTGAGTCTATTTCTTTATTTCAATCTATCTGCAAAGCTGGTTATATATTTAATGGATAAAATCAGAAAACCTTAAATAAAGGGTTAGCTGCATTTATAGTCTAAAAGGTGTGATTTTGCTGAATGGTTGAATCTCAGCGAGGTCATGAATAAAAAAACCACTAAGAATATTTCAAGTGAGAATAAGCTGCAGGAGCAGGAGTACTGGTCAGGGGTGCATCCCGAAAATTTTGGTAGGGGTGGCCAGATGGGGCGAAAGCAACTTTTGGGGTGGCACACCAAATTAGTCCTTGTGGTAACTCTGGGAGAGTTTAGCCTGTGGCGATGTATTGCATTGCTCCTTTATTTGTTCTTATTAAAGAAAACAGTACATACCCAAAACATTTTACTGAAAATTTACAATCCCCAAACATTACAGAAAAATACATGTTATTTCTAATTTTATTTAACAATTTTTTTTAGTTTAATTCACCTTTTGCTGTGTTCACAAAAAAAATCTATGGAGATAAAAACTTTTTAAATATGTGGGCAGCAGAAACATATGTATTTTTTCTATTCTGATTATTTCTGTACTCATTAATTATATTATTTTTATTTTGTTTTACAATTGTGTCTCGAATAAATAAAATCAATTTATGGTTTGAGTGAACATTAATATGATTTATTAACACTGGCTTTTGCTGGGGGGACCAGCACTTTTCTAGGGGTGGCCATGGCCACCCCTGGCCACCCCTTGGGGGCGCCATTGGTACTAGTTTTTGTGTTTTCTGGTCTTATGGTTGCACTTCTAATACTTTGTGGCAAATGTATGAAAAAGATGTTTTCAGTGATGTGTTACCCAATAAATTTGACAGATGTGCATTTTATCTTATTGAAATGAAGACAATAAGTAAGTTGTTGAGTATCCCATGTTTCCTCATTTACCTGACTCATCTGAGCTCAGCCCAGTGTTTACTTCTCAACTGTGTTTGTGTGCGTGTGTGTGTGTCAATGGGTTGGGAGGGGGGTTAATTGTCAGTGACATTTGTGGGATATGTGGGGTCTTTTAAATCTGCAAAGCACTTAGAGTTACATTTTCTGTTGGAAAACCGCTTTATAAATAAAGTTTGATTTGATTAAAAAATGAGAAAAGTATTTTGAAAATTCAAACCTTTTGTTTTTAATCTAAAATATATTTATTTATTCATAATCTGTTTTACCTAATATTTATGATTAGGGTTTGTACTCAACAGTTTACATGTGACAATTAACAGGCTAACATGCAGTTAGGTGGTTTGACGGGTTGGGGCAGGTTACCATCTTAATCAATTAAAATTCATTCATTCACGTTCCCTCTCGCATGTGAATGATGTAATAGTTTGTCTGCCACTGATTTGGTGTCGTCGCGTGGGCCATGTGCTGCCTCCAGCTGCCGGTTGTCAAATGATAGGATGATCCAGTTTTGTGCCCAAATAAGAGTAAGTGTTCCTAAAGTGACGAATTTAAATCGATACATTTGATGAAAATATATATAATATTTTGTGTAAAGCTCGATGAATCTCTATAGAGAAAAAGCAGGTGGAGTCGTGGCTGTATGGGCTGAGAGGGTGGAGAGCATCCTTCCCCGTTGTTCGTTCTGCTGGTGTAACGCGTGCGTAAATGCGCTTGGTTAGGCGGTTTCTTTGGACCGGACCACTGCTTCATTGGACCCTGGATCGGTGCGACACTCCAGTGGAAGGTAGCCGAGTCTGTCGGTGGTACAGCCGACACCCGTCCAAGTAAGGCGGGGGTGGGAAAGGGAGAAAAGGGAGGGGGAGTTCCACTCGAAAGGCAGACAATGCGGTTTCACGATGCGTTTATTCCTCTCCACTATCCAAAGCTGCTGCCGCGCAAAAACATGAAGCACCGAAGATGCAGGAAAGGGAATGCGTCGTAAATATTTTCTCTATTGTTTAATTTTAGGTTCGCGTTTAATTAATTTCTTTTCTGCCGTTATTGTGACTGAGAACAAAACCAGAGATGAAATTCCCAATAGAACACCCGACTAAACAAGTCAACTGGGACCCAGAACAAGGTGGGTAAATTATTCCGCCTCACTGAACTGTTTGCTGCCAATTAGGCTTTTTTCCCCTTAATGTTGGAAACAACTGTCGCAGTAACATCTCATCTCACCAAGGTGTGCAACATGCGGCACATCCACATATTGCTTATATTTAAAACATTTTTTACAGAATTATAATGTCTATTTTCCTAGAGAGTCTCTTTTACACCACGTGACTTGCCAAAATCATGTAAACTGACCAAAGAAAGGTGTTTTTGGGAGCTGCAGTTGCGCAAGGCGACACTCATCGAAGTGGAGCTGCAAAAATAATCATGGTAGCAGACATAAACACTGTATAACCGGAAGTAGTTTCAAAAGAAAATTATAAAGGTGTATATAAGGTGCATTAAAATCACATTTAATGTCCATTTAGATATATCAGAGATGTTATTTCAGGGAGGTAATCTTAAAAAAGTCATTGCAGTGGCACCCACACATGTAGTTGGGACCCCACACTAGATCTTTTGGGGTTTTGAGATTATCTCCAGAAATAAAATAAACTATAAACTGTTCTTGATTGGGGATTTTTTTTCTATACTTTATGCAAAAGCTAAAATAATAGCCACACAATTATACACTGATTTACTTTAATAGTACAGCACAAGTTGAACTTGCAATTTATTAAAAAAGTTGAAAAGCTAAAAACAGCTATATTTGCTGCTGTGAGTCTCTGCTGTTGTAGTTTTGGATGATAACAAACACTATTATACAAATTATTTACATTTTTACCAGCAAACATAAACTTTACCATCAGTTGATGTGTTTTATTTTGAAATATTGTAGTTACTGGAAGCTTGTGACTGTAAACAGTCTGATACTTGATGTTAAAGCTCAGCTGGTGAGTTAAATGCCTGCAACCCTCCCAATGCAATAGGGAAACGCTTCTGGAAGTGTTGTTATTGCACAACTAATTTAGAAATAGTAAGAAAAAAAAATAAATGAAAGTGGAACAAACACAAAGAAAACAAGAGCTGAACCTTATCAGACTCAGCATCTCCATCAATCCATTATGCACCATGAGCTCATGTGATTATTTTCTCTACTATAGTTTGATACAGGGGAGTCAGAGCTGGGAGAGCATTAGCGATTATCAGATAACACTTTTTCCACTCAGGTGCATATTTCATTTTCAAAAATCAATGCAGAGCTAAAAGGACTTTACAGTAATGGCATAAAGCCTCAGGAATCTAAAAGGCAGACCTTGTTCTGTTCACTGCGGTGTTGACTTCGACTGCAGATCTTCAACCAAGCAAACTAAAGGAATAAACAACTTTCTTTTATTCACTGAGCTAAAATGATAAACATCTGACTTGTTTACGTTTTGTTCTCATTTATGTGTCCGTCTTGTATTCTGTAAACAACCAGCAGCCTCCCGGAAAGATCGGCACAGTTAATCAAAGTAGCGGTTTGCACATAAGATCACTGCTTTTATTGATCTACTTAGTGATGTGGAGATTAACTGAAAAGATTCATGAGCTCACGATGATGGGACCCTTCTGTAGGCATCTTTGATTTATCGGAGCTGTTTGTGTGTCATGTGGTGCCATTAAACAAACCGCCTCTTTCAGGGTTGTTTCATGTAAATCCCATTGCTCATTTCTGTTCTTTAAGGTTGCATCCTCTTAGAAAACAAGCTCCGCCCATAGCTTCGAGGCACTGCGAGCACTTAGGGAAGTGTGGGTGTTAAGGGTGAAGGCCAAAAGCTCTGAAAGTCTTATGCAATCGATACATTAAAAGGAATCTAAATTTGGCATCCTCTTTGTAGCATTGCTTCAGGTTTAACATGCAGCAGCGTACACACGTTTTTGTTTAAACCAATCCATTAGGCAAATATATTTCACTCATTCTGTGAGAAAACAAAAATCAGAATCACTCAGCGTGTAGACATTCCTATTTGTTTGATGTCAGTTTAGATTTGTATAATCTGAACAACGCAGATGAATTTTAGAAATGTGGATGAAGCTGTTCTGAAATGGGCTCACATTTGCAGGAGTCACGATTTTCAGGTGACAGTGTCTTGCTACAGCTGCAGCTTGGGTAACAGGCAATTCATCTGATAGCTTTGCATGTCTGCTGTGCAAAAATGCTCTTTGTTATCCTAATGTGGTCAGGAGAAAGCTTTTTAAAGTGTCATAATGGTGAAAATAGGTTTTCAGTAGCTGTAATGCTCTTATGCATGTGTCTGGTGGGTATTAAAGGCATGATATAAGCTTTAGGAAAAAGAGGAGGGGGTCTTTTGTTAATCTGTTAAAATTTCCATGCATTAAATGTGATTGTTTATGGTGTATGTTAGCAAAAATGATTAGATCTGGACTTTTTGTATCTCTAAACACAAGCATATTATCTTTCCCTCATGCAATCGTTTGCAGTTTATGTTTCAAAGGTTAAGGCCAGAATCCAAAACAATTTTTGTGTGATGCGTTTGTTGAAACTCTGCCAAGGTGTTTTTACTTCCAACCCATAGACTTACAAAAAAATTAAATAAATAAAATAAACAAGATTAAGTTTCAGACTTAACACCCCACGACAAAAACATTAATATGTACATCAATCCAGCATTCTTCTCCCTCTTGTTTTCCTCCCCAGTGGCGGTCCAGACACACTTGGTCACACCCAAAAAGATGAAGCCTGGCATGGTGAAGTCGAGCCTTGTCCAAGCGAGCGTGACTACCATGCAAAACCCCATGGGCTACGACCCGAGGACCAACGGCCACTGTGCACTTCCACGCCTCTCCATCTCCTCCCGCTCCGCCAGCATGGTGGCCAGCTTGGATGCCAGCAATGACGGCTCAATTGCAGCGCTCCAGTCAGTGATGAAATGGAAGACGGTGGTGGCGGTGTTCATTGTGGTTGTTTTATATCTCGTCGGTGGAGCACTGGTTTTCAAGGCTCTAGAGCAGCCGTTTGAAAGTGAACAGAAGACCATCATCAGCCAAGATAAGGCTTCCTTCCTGCAGAAACACCCGTGTGTCACGCCTGCTGACCTGGATGAAATCATCCAGGTGAGTACATTAATGAAGAAAATATTTTGAAACTTTAGAGGAACTGAGGCATAGTTTTAATCACTTCATAGACATGTCACAATTTTTCTTGTTTCATTATTGAAGTTGTCATAAAATACTATAAAGTTTAATTAACTTAATCTGCTATCTCTACAATCTCATTTCTATACTGGCATTTGATTAATCAGACATTACAGTCTATAGTCATCGTGCTATTTCTCATTTAATGGCAGCTAATTATCCTATTAAAAGCATACTTTGCAACTTTTTCATATTTTTAAATAATCTTCTTGAGCCAATTACCCTTAACCGGGTCAATGAAATGCCACTCAGATCCGCACCGCCCTCTGTGGCCAGAAAATGACACTTGCAACATCAGAGTGCCGGTCTGGTCTGTTGGACTAAAAAAATTGAGCTTGCATACCTGGTGCTACAGTCTGCTTCCAGCATGTTTTAGATCATGAACACAGCTGATTTGTTTAATTTAGTGAACCGCTCGTGTAGAAACTAATGAAGGCTGAGGAGACATTTCAACAGTTAAATTAAGCTGTTAAAAAGACAAACGCACAGCGAGGAGATAAGTTTCACTTTTGGTTCTACTAAATGGACAATAAGGGTTGGTAAAAGCAAGCCAAAACTGCCTATTCTTTGAGTTTTTATTTTATAAAATTCGATTAAAATAGCAAAATTTCAACTTTATCTTTTTTATACATAAGCAAATGAACTGAGAAATCTGTGCTATAATTTCATATTTTTTTTAAATTTTAGTAACGACATCATCACCAGGCAACATATCAAATAACAATCCCTACTTCTAAATCGCAATCGGAAGGTCGCAGGTTCGAGACCCGCTCAGTCTGTCGCTGTCGTTGTGTCCTTGGGCAAGACACTTAACCCACATTGCCTGCTGGTGGTGGTCGGAGGGACCGGTGGCGCCAGTGCTCGGCAGCCTCGCCTCTGTCAGTGCGCCCCAGGGCAGCTGTGGCTACTTTGTAGCTCACCCTCACCAGTGTGTGAATGTGTGTGTGAATGGGTGAATGACTGATTGTGTTGTAAAGCGCCTTGGGGGGTTCCAGGACTCTAGAAGGCGCTATATCAAAAATATCAAATACAGCCCATTTAAATTTCTCAATTTTTTAATATTATTTGTGGTCCTAAATGGACATAAAATAGTCAAATGTCTCAGAGCAATACTTAATAGCCTTGAAACATATAATCGTATTCAGTTGGCATTCAAGAATACCATTCATGAAAATAAAAAGATAAAGAACATAAATTTTGCTAATAAAATAAATTTTTATAGCTTAAAGAATTCCTAAAGACGACTGATTTCAGTGACCTTTTGTTCAATTGCTGCTATAAAGGTCAGCCATCTCCCTTATCTCAATTCTGAGTTCAAAGACTGCCCTCCATTAATATTCATCACATCATACATTTCAGTCAGTAGATCCTTTTGCTGTATAGGTGGTTAAGTAGGTTAGTGCTGGTTGATTATGATTACTTTAGATGTTGTTGTCAGCTTCAGAACAGTCATGCTTAACTCCAACACACAGTCTGTCCTAAATACTATCGAGGAGGCGTTTGTCTACCTGTTGTCTGTTTTTTTCTTTACAAATTCTGTTGCTCTCTTTAGAAATGTGCTATTCCTTCACGTTCTGGGCTATTTTTTATTACTCTGTTGCTCAGTTTACTTTAGCATTTATCACCTCAATATATAAATAAGTGGGTGGCTTCTATCCATCCATTCACCAAATAAAGGACATCCTGCTGCTGTGGAATAACAAACTCATTTTGAACTCAGAAACAGCGTTTTCTGTGAAAAAGTACTCATGTAGACTTGCCGATATGAGTTTACATAAGCAACGACAAGACCATAAACTGACTGTTTATGTGTGTGTGTGTGTGTGTGTGTGTGTGTGTGTGTGGGGGGGGGGGTCTTATACATAATTTTGTATACTTATTGTAAAAACTACAGCCTAGAGGCTCTTTTATGCAATGTCAGGAATGCAGAACTGTGAAGTACACAGGTGGCAGTAAAACAAAAAAACTAATATTGTTTTTCACCTTGTCAGTCATTTTCATTCCTACTCCGTGCCACAGGGTTCTGTTTTAGGACCCTCATTGATTCTGTTATACCTGCTTCCTCTTCAGCACACTTTGAGTACCTTTAAGGACATTTCAGGTGTATTTCTCTTTTAAGCCCAGTGATGATAAAGAGCAGATTTTCTGACTCATTAAAGTTTATACTTTCTGGGAGCTTTCTCCAAATTAATCAAGAAAAAGGGGGAAGTCCTTGATTGTACTCCAGACAAATTCATGTGTGAGATAAATCCTTTTTTCCACAGCCAATGTTAGAAACTCTCCTAAAAAATAAGATTTCTTATGGAACTATTGATTTTCACGGTCTTCTGTACATTTGTTCTGTGTGTAACTTCATGATTTATTACTTTGTTCTTTTTTTTCTTTACACAGCGTAGAAAAAAATTGTTGTTTATCTTGAAACTGACACGTTTCGGTTAGTGACTCTAGCCTGCATCAGAGCTCACCGGTGTTGGTGGCGTCACTTCCATTTATCTGTTCATTGTATTTTCTGCTTACCAAGCAGCAGAAAGTACAATAAAGAAATCAGCCGTAACAGACCACTGCACAAGAGAAGTTCTTATAATGAACTGGGACAGCACATGGATCACAAACACAGAACAACAAAAATAAAAAAGATGGATTAAAGAAGCAATAAAAATAAGGCGATGTGGACACAAAACCATGAACAGAGATGATTGGATCACGCTTGTGACATTGTCTTGTGTTGGCAGTAGAGAGCGACATTGTCCTCTGCTAGTCGCAGATAAACGCAAGTGACGCCACCAACACCGGCAAGCTCTGATGATGGCAAGAGTCACTAGCCGAAACTTGTCAGTTTCAAGGTAAACAACAATAATTTTTACTGTGCTGTGTAAAAAAGAGCAAAGTCATGGATTATGGTTATCACTATGTTGTGCTATGTACTGTAAATTGTTATTCGTGCATTCCTTTCTTCACAACTCTTCTGCAAGGTTGGTAATCAAGTCTTCATTGTTGCAATTGTCTTTAATTCTGCAGAGTCTAAGGAAATTTTGCAACATCCAAACTTTAAATAATAAGACATTTTTGTTCAAATGTCTTCGATGAAAATGTGATAAATACCAATGTAAAATTGTTGAAAACTTTCCCCTAAAATAGAAAAATTCAATTGAACATAAATCCGACATTTCTTTTGAAACAGCGTTAAACAGAATAATTGAAATAAACAAACCAATAAAACTGAATGTAAAACTGGTTCTACTCCAAGTAGTCACAGTGCTGGTTGGTATCAGGGTGAGTACCACACTGAACACAAAGCTAAAGACAGAGTTGTCTCCTTAGCTTTCTTTGTTGTTTTAAGTTATTTTAGTCACTATTGTGGGGGCTTCTTTCAGTGATTCTTAAAGATCAAGTTCTTTATTAGAGACCCACACCAAAGCAAACATAACATTATGTTTTGTTTGTTTTTTAGCTAAACATTAGCATGCTGTTTTTGCACTGCTTCACATTTGATCAGCACAGCTTGGGATTTTTTTCATCACCAAGCACACTCAACTAGAAAACAAGCAGGTCTACTAATAAAAAGACTATTTCCATCATAATGCAACTTAACTGTGCATTTTACCGTGCCTTTTTCACATTGTCAATCGTCAGCAATAACGTGGCGAATGGCTATGATTCATGCTGCGTCCTGGCGCTGCACCCAGAATTATGGGTCGAGATTTAGGGTCACTACATCATGCTGACATGTACAAGTGGAAATTGGAATTGGAAAATGATTTGAGACGTGCCAATGTGGAACCGACTGTACAGAAAGCTTGATTTGTGTCAGAGTGCAGAACTAGTACACATGGCAACAGAAGTCAGTCAGATATTTGGAAAGAAGGTAAAAATTAAATCTAAAAAATCTGAGTTAGAAACATCTAATAGTTGAAATCCTCAGAGCATTTGAGCAAAATAAACACAGTTTCCTGTTTATTGTTTGCAGTAAAGATAAAAGTTAGGTTAGTGCCGCAGTGGGCTCTTTTCATTCCCTACTGGGACAGCAGTAGCTCAGGAGGTAGAGCAGGTTGTCCCGTAATCGGAAGGTTGCAGGTTTGATCCCGGTTTCGGTACAGTATCTGCTCGGGTGCAAGATCGGCTCGGGGTCCTTCGACTGCTGATGACGTCAAAGTACGGCAAACCCACTCGGACAAAATACACTACACATATATACTGTTGGAAAGAATTTAGTAGTTTCGTTATTAAAATAATGTTTCTTAAGACGTAAGTTTGTGTTTATATTTGTAAAATAAAACACTATATTTGATTCATGTTGAACTCCTCTTTGAGCACATCCCTTGAAGGATCATATGGTATTAGCAACACCTGTGAAATTGTATTTGCAGGAAAGAAGTGTGTCCCGTTTATTGAAGTATTTGTGTTGAGTTTTTGACGTCTTGTCCATGCGTAGTTCATTTACGCTCATAGCTGCTAGCCAAAGCTCTGGAGTTAAAAGTTTTCTGGCTTTACTAAAATACCTGTCTGTACTTATTTGATTGATGGTAGTTTTACTTCTATTAGACTCCAAATGTAATCATTTGGCACGTTTCTAATTCATAATTTGTAATAATGTAATCGGCGATATTAGCATTAGCATTCCTATGGGTTTTTCCATGTATATTAGCATTGCGCTAACCACTCGCTGCCAAATTGCAGCCTTTGCCATTAGAAAATCTCCTTTTGTCACATCGCAATTTAATTGCACATGCAGTTAATCGTTCAGCCCTAATATACTTGCAGCTCTATGCTAAAAGTGTATTTTCAAAGAGGTAATGATGGATTTCTTTGTAAAAGTTGTCCATCTTTCCAATAGAAAAAATTTGCCTGGACCAACGTCACGTGATAACAACGTTACGTGATTACGTAATTCCGTAAGGTTCATGTTCAGCCAATCAACT